TTTTTTTTTTTGGTTCTTTACAATTCAGATATGAAAGTGTTTTTGCTGCTAGTAAATGCACCATTCAAAATATGTTTATGTCACATTTGTTTTGTTTTGTTTATTATTCATGTCTTGTAGAGAAAGAGCTAGAAGAGAACCCAGCTCAGCTGAAGCAACATATCTTAAGCAAGCTTGGAAAGACACCTGATAAAGTAAGAGCTGTCATAGAAAACACTGAGTTGGATGCTTTTATATCCTCACCATTGAGATATAGGCATCCATGGGAGCTTCTGTGGGGAAACATTAGCAAAGGCAATGTTTGTGTAGCCGGAGATGCACTGCACCCAATGACTCCGGACATTGGCCAAGGCGGCTGCTCTGCGTTAGAAGATGGCGTCGTATTGGCAAGGTGTCTTGGTGAGGCCTTGTCGAAGAGCTCAAGGCAAGGAATGGAAGATAAAAGTGAAGAAGGAATGCAGGAACATAAGAAGATTGAGGTGGGATTGAAAAAGTATGCCAATGAAAGGAAGTGGAGAAGCTTTGATCTGATTAGCACAGGTTATGTGGTTGGTTTTCTGCAAGGGAGTGAGGGAAAAATTATGACATTCTTGAACAAGTTCTTGGCTCCTTCCCTGGTTCTGCTGCTGTTGAAGAAGGCTGATTTTGATTGTGGGAAGCTAAGCATCTCTTAATGCAATGAGACACTAATATTATTTCATAACAAAAAAATCTGGAAGCTTCTTGTAGAAACAAATAAGATATTAACATGTATTTACTTGTGAACATGTTTGTGAATGGTTTTCTCATGCCAAATATGCTCTTTTTTATATCATTTAAAACAATTTTTCATAACATATTTAATTAGCAATAATAACTAATGGCGGGGCGAAAGTGAAGGGTTTTATGTTAAAACTAGAACTTGTATATCTTCGACAAATGAAACTCTTCTTAATGAAGCTAATTTTGATAGTGTAATACATGAAACCGAAAAAGAAACGGTTAGAAATTTGAATACAAAACCTAAAGTGCATAGTATTCTGTGCATAAAACAAAAGAGCTATTAAGAATTAGTATTAGACATCAAATGCATGAATAGAGGCTCTAGCCAGTCGATTCACAAGCGCATTGCTTTGTTTCCTCCATCTTTTTTTGTGGTTACATTCTTTCCTCCATGTTTGTGTTGTTTAGTGGTGTTCTTTTTTTATTTGTTTTTTTTTCCCTTCTATAAGGCTGTTTGGATTGGGCCTTGTGATTTGTTGGGCCAGTCCAACCTAAGCAAGCATTACGTAAAGTGAACCCGTCAGATTTTTTTTCTTTCAAAAAACAGAAAAAGCGACGCCGTTTGAACTTCGGCCTTCCCTTCATTTCCTCTCTCTCACTCTTCTTCGTTCTCTCCATCTCTCTTTCGCTTAAACTTGCAGGGGAGGAAACGTAGCAAAACCCTAGTTCCTCCATCGCCAATTCCGATCAGCACCGGGCTACAACCAAAATCAAGGTAATTTTGTCTTAATTACAAATCGATTTCAACTTTATCGCTTTTATCTTCGTTCAGCATTTGATTGAATTTTGTTCTCTGTAATCTGGGTACAGTCTCTTCAAGATGACTCAAGACGTGGAGATGAAAGAGGTCCCAGCGCCCTCTATTCCTTCTAATTCAGCTTCTTCTACTTCTCCTTCAACTCTTCATAGTAAGTTTTCCATCTACATACATATATCTCTTTCCTATTAAAACCCTAATTTTCATTTTCCTACATTGTTTCTGAAGTTTAAGTAAGTTAGTGATACTTTATCAAATTGGTTATGCGGGATTTGACTTTAGATGTTCACTCTTTACTGGTTTTTATAGATTTGAAGGAGATTGCTTCACTCCTGGAGACTGCTGCATATACTCGAGAGGTTCGGCGAATTGTGCGTGCCGTTAGGCTAACCATGGTGTTGAGGCGGAAGCTGAAGGTTTCTGTGCTCTCAGCATTCCTCAATTTTGCCCTTTCGCCGGGTTCTGAGGTTCACAGTCGGCTATCCTCGTATCTTCCAAAGGTGATTTTGGATCTACCTTATTGAATTTTGGATTTAAGCTTGTATAGTCAATGTTCTTTTTTACTTTTGAACACTGGGAATGTGAAACATTGGTTGCACAGGACGATGAACATGACATGGACGTTGATACTGCAACTTCTGCTACCCAAGTTTCCTCAAAGCATGCCTTGCCAGAGCTAGAGATTTACTCCTACTTGCTTGTGCTCATTTTTCTGATTGATCAGAAAAAATACAATGAGGTGAATCATTATACTTGTCATTACATGTGGGTCTTTACTTCAAAAAAAAAAAAAAATGAAGTTCTCATGTTTGTAATAATGTTGCATTGGGGTTTTTTAGGCAAAAGCTTGTGCCTCGGCAAGCATTGCTCGAATTAAGAACCTCAATAGGAGAACCATCGATGTTCTGGCATCCAGGCTATACTTCTATTACTCCCTTAGCTATGAACTGACTGGTGATCTTGCAGAGATTAGAGGGTGAGTTTTATGATATCACGATTTAAAGATTCTTTTTAGTGAGTTGTGTTTGTCTGTGTGTTCTTTTGACATAAGAATGTCTTTATACTAAGGAAAGGTCTGATTGAATTTTTTTTATTTTTAAATTTCACTTATTCCCTTAAAACTAATTTATTCAGTCATTCATTAACAGAAATCTCCTTAATCTTCACCGGATTGCAACTTTGCGCCATGATGAGCTGGGTCAGGTAAATCGTAATATTATGAGCAATTGTGTCTGTTTTACCGGTTTCTTACATGTGTAAAACAATGTGATGCAGGAAACACTTCTCAACCTTCTGCTTCGCAATTACCTCCACTATAACCTGTATGATCAGGCAGAGAAACTGAGGTCCAAGGCTCCTCGATTTGAGGCTCACTCAAACCAGCAGGTCATTCGTAATTATTTCACTCTATTAGCCATAAACTGTCTATCTAGGATCAACATCATGTGTGAATGTAGATGTATGGTTCATCCTTTTTTGGAAGGCTAAGTTATGTTCTTGCATGTATATAACCAACTTCTAGGCTTCTGTGTGTTCTATTGTAATGACATGCTGGTCTATCTCGTGTCTTGGCTTTCTTCAATTGTCAATATCATGCTTATTATCAATGGATTTTATTCCTACAACCTTTTTTGTTTCTTAATTTTTTTAAAACATATTGTAATGATGCACTGGTCTATCTCGCATTTTGCATTCTTCCACTGCCAATCAACAACTGACTATCAAGGACTTCTCGTCAATGTTAGCATGTTGCAGTTCTTGTTCTCTTTGGAGTAAGCAAAGTTTTAATGGAACTTTAGTGATTTCTGTTCTCTTAGGAATAAATTATATCGTGTGAGCTTTGAGTCTATATTTCCGAATTTTTTTTCTTCTTTTGTTTCAATCTTAAGCCAGGACGGTCCCTTGGGAAGTAAGTTGATTTACCACCAGCTGTTCTCATAGAGTCAAATTAGCTTGATCTAAAACAGTGGTAGAGAATCTATACGTGGCAAAAAAAAACATATATTTCCTCAGTGGTGGTTCCTTTCTGTCCAATATAGGATGCATAATCTGATTCTGACAATGTTCTCTTGCAGTTCTGCCGGTATCTCTTTTACCTAGGAAAGATCAGAACAATTCAGTTGGAGTACACTGATGCAAAGGAGTCCCTCCTGCAAGCTGCCAGGAAAGCCCCTATAGCAGCCCTTGGTTTTCGAATTCAATGCAACAAGTGGGCAATTATTGTACGCTTATTGCTTGGAGAAATCCCTGAGAGAACTGTGTTTATGCAAAAAGGCATGGAGAAGGCTTTGAGGCCGTACTTTGAGCTAACAAATGTAAGTCTGAAATTCTCAAACCTTGAACCCTGAACTTTATTTCTCCTGGAAAGAACAAGGGTTGACAAAGGAGGACTATTTTTAATGCCCGTCTTTTCTAGTGGAAAAGCCAAACTCAATTACTTAATTGTGTGGCTTTACTGTCTTACCAAGTTTGAGAGTAATGACTGTATTTTCTGCTGAATATTGGAGATAATAATGCAGTATTTTATAACTCCTAGGATGAGGCTGGGATGGCCTTCTTGGAATCAGTAGGCCCCTGAGCATTTTCTAACTGCTGGTTTTGATTGAGACAATTTTTGTTTTCAGGCTGTGAGAATTGGTGACTTGGAGCTGTTCAGAAATATTGCCGAGAAGTTCGCAAATATATTCAATTCAGACCGAACCCACAATTTGATTGTTAGGCTGCGACATAATGTCATAAGAACTGGGTTGCGTAACATTAGTATCTCTTATTCTCGTATTTCTCTGGTTGATGTTGCTAAAAAGTTGAGATTGGACTCTCCAAATCCTGTTGCTGATGCTGAAAGTATTGTTGCCAAGGCAATCCGTGATGGTGCAATTGATGCCACCCTGGATCATACAAATGGATGGATGGTGTCAAAGGAAACTGGGGATATCTACTCTACTAATGAGCCCCAAGCTGCATTTGACACAAGGATTGCGTTTTGCCTCAATTTGCATAATGATGCAGTGCGAGCACTTCGGTTCCCACCAAACTCTCACAAGGAGAAAGAAAGTGCTGAGAAGAGGAGGGAGAGACAACAACAGGAGCAAGAGCTTGCAAAGCATATAGCTGAGGAGGATGATGACGAGTTTTGAATCAGTTGTATACTGAGAAGGCATCTACTTGCCCTGTGAAATGCTCTCAAAAAGCCGTGCATTGATATGCCTGTCAAGGATATTTTTAGCTTCTGGTCTTATTGACTTGGGATAGTGGCTGTTTCCATTTGATGTTATAGATTTATTGCGTTGAGCCAGAGCGACCTCGGTTGCAATCATATTTTGAGGTCTGCTTGTTTCTTTTTCTCAGATATGACAGGAACATCGAATATTTTACATTTTCACCAGACATTGAACATGTTATCAGGTTCCCTTGGACGTGCCCTCATGCATGCTCTTTTGTTCGTTCTTATGTTCTCTGTAATTTGACAATTGATGAAGTTGCATATTGCTAGCAAGTATGTTTTGGTCATGGGTATGTTAGAAAATTCTATGGGAACAATGGAATTTGAATTTGATGCACAATGGAACTATAAACGATGCTTTTCATGCCAGGAGATTGAAAATATCCCCTACCCTTTTTCTGGGTACCCTGTTCAACTTGTTTTAGGGCAGATGGTTTTGTAACCCATTTTCTTTCCTTTTCATTTTTGATACGTGCGTTTAGGGATGGAAATATTATTTTTATTTGCATGCCAATTTTAAAAGAAGGATGAAGAGAACTTGCCAAAAAGCGAAGAAAGATGAAGAAAGCCTTAATCGAGGCAACACTTCTCAAGTCATTGCGATTTACAAACTGACATTATCAAAATTAATCTAGTTTTAAGTTGCACAAAAAAATGTTACAGATATGACTCCCTGTGAATGATCAGAATCATATCAAATCCTTAAATCTCTGGCATTCACTGACCCAGCGGAGCCAAATGTTACAAACTTTACAATGTTTCTGATTGGAAAGGAAGAATCACAATATTGGTTCCATCTCTAGTAGGACCGAAGGGGTGCAATCTCTAATTCTAATGTCTTTTGGGATACAAAACATATGAGCTTATGTAATTCCACTTCATAGGTGAGAAAAGGCAATGAATTCCACCAGTTCGATAAAGAAAGACTCAGAAGTTCAGTTACACTCCAGTCGAGATCATTCACCCAGTTGAACTTAAGCCAAATGACTTAACGATGGTGCTCACCCTTTCTGCAAAAGTTTTTGAGGTTATCTT